ATAGGAACACAGAAAAAATCCCATCATAAAACCATCCTATCAGAAGGTCCATCTTAAACCTACGCTAAAATGCAAGACAACAAAACTACCAGAGCAATTTAATGAAACAGGAAGACAATAGTAACATCTACCATCAGTGGTGGAGATGTAATAAAACCGTATCAAGCAAGAAAACGAAGATATTACAAGCCGTTGAAAAATGATTTATTTGTTAAAGCATGAAGTAAATAGAATGGAAATAGACAAACTATTGGATAATCATAAATATAAATATATATAAGAACAAAAAATTTGCTAACGCAAATTTACAGATCTAACATTGTTGGGCTGTTATTTAGACGAATTATATATACAGAAATGTGTTTTCAGCCTTGTATCACCATCACTGGTGATCCGATGGATACAATCTGTTGTAGAGTCGTCACTGGTTCAGACGTACTTATAAAATTATTATTTTTGTGACTGCATCTTACATTAATTTGTAGGATCCTTTACAATAGATAATTCAGCTGATCTTTAACAATTCCATCTTCATGCCTTGTATATCATGTACTGTGTTACGACGCTAGATTAAAACTGACGAGGAGACGTAACACCCGGCCACCGAAAGCTTTATTATTGTCGAGCCTAGGTGGTCGAGTGGTCTAGTGCGTCGGGCACAGTTCAAGGCGATTTGGTGCCACGATATCTCAGTAGCATGAGTTCGAATCCCGGCCAGGGAAGGACAAAAAAATTTGCTAACGCAAATTTACAGATCTAACATTGTTGGGCTGTTATTTAGACGAATTATATATACAGAAATGTGTTTTCAGCCTTGTATCACCATCACTGGTGATCCGATGGATACAATATGTTGTAGAGTCGTCACTGGTTCAGACGTACTTATAATATAATTATTTCTGTGACTGCTTCTTACATTAATTTGTAGGATCCTTTACAAAAGATAATTCAGCTGATCTGTAACAATTCCATCTTCATTCCTTATATATCATGTACTGTGTTACGATGCAAGATTAAAACTGACGAGGAAAGGTAACACCCGGCCACCGAAAGCTTTATTATTGTAGAGCCTAGGTGGTCGAGTGGTCTAGCGCGTCGGGCACAGTACAAGGCGATTTGGTGCCACGATATCTCAGTAGCATGAGTTCGAATCCCGGCCAGGGAAGAACAAAAAAAATTTGCGTTTTTACAGATCTTACATTGTTGGGCTGTTATTTAGACGAAATATATATATATATATATATCATATATACAAGACCCTTAATGAAAGGTTGGCTTAATAATAATACAGATGTCAATAAAATAGGACAAAGATGAACACATGCGATTTATGTGAATATAAAACTCAATATTAACTCACTATATCATTCGGCACAAATAAAGGATGTATGAAACAATAGTGAGCGAGACAGAAACTGGAATGAGTGAAATATCATTAGATGATGTAGCGCCATCCATGACATATTCGGCATGGGGTTCGAAAATACAAACTAATGATTCCGATATCACTGATACGTGGGAACCGTTGGCACAGAAAACTTTCGAAGTTCACCAAATGAGGCATTTGTTGACGACTAAGTTTCAGAGGGTTTTGATAGCTTTAAGCACAGGATCAAGCCTCTAATAAAACCAACTTACAGATATAAGCTTGGAAACAGATATTTATACATCGTTTTAGAACAAAAGAAGATGGTCTGAGATTTAGTTCACAGGAAGATAAAGGCATCTGCAAGACTTCTCAAGGACGGGGAAAATTACGACACCATGAATTATGGAAATATGCCGTTGAAAAAACTAGTTTTAGAAACTACTAGTAGATTTCCTGCTGTGCTGACAGGATCCAAGCAAATACCTGAAGATTAAGAGGGAGACAAACAGTATAATATGTCCGATTTTTTCTGAACATTCCACAGGAGATAGACCTTGACTTTCTTATTATTTAAAAACAGGTCCGATTTGCTCTAACGGCTTCAATGTTTGAGGTATAAGCCGAAAACTACATTTCCCCCATATGTTCTATGTTTTGCAATGGCGGTCATCTTTTTGATGGACAAGAATAACAAACACAAATTTTATACTAGATACCCTAATTATTCAGCTCAAGTTTGCTTGAAACTGGTCCAGTTGTTTTAGAGGAGTAGATCTCTGAAAAAGTTTACACAGGACGACAACGGACGGCCGACAGATGCAAAATGATGGCAAAACGTTCAAATGGCCTTCTGATTATTTCTACCTCTGTCATATTTTCTCTGTCTATTATGGTTTTCAAGATAAAGGACAAGACTTTGATGTTACCCATGTTCTATTTCTAACAATGTCGGTTATGTTGGTTGACAGGCCGGGTCATCGGAAACATATTTTTTCTAGATACCCCAATGATGATTGTAACTAAGCTTGGTTTGGTTCAATTGGCCCAGTAGTTTCTGAGGATAAGATTTTAGTTAAAATTAGACGACTTCGACAGACCTCAAAAAATTCAAAATATATCAGTTCCAATTCCGAAGTCACTATTTGTGTCAATTTCCCCACTTATTTTCCTAAAAACTTCTATGTAATAACATACTGCAGGATTTGGTTATAGGGGCATTAGCTGTCAAATTCATGTTCATCGAGTTAGCTCAAATTCTTATATTAGTTTATTACATACTAAAACGTATATCCAAATTACTAAAAGTCTAAAATAAACAATAAACAATGCACGGACTCGATAATATGTATCAACATTTCGTGTGTATTTTTGTCTATGCGTCATCTAATTAACCATCGAGAATCAGATGACCTCCGAAGACTACCGACGGTCATATAACCCGATATAAACATAAATAGATAACTACCACGTGCAATTGGCTATTATTACGTCTGTTTGATTTCATAATGTAGGTTAAAAAGTATGTTTATCATCGTTTTTACCTGTATAAGAATAATTTTTTGTGGATCGAATCAGTCAGCCGAATAGTTCATCCTTGTTTCACTTTCAATGTTGATATTCTTTTCCTTTTAATAGCTGAATACATGCGTAACAATTCTCCAACTAAGGGTTAAATTGAAGGTCACATGAATACGGATTAAATGAGGTCGAATTATTCACTTGCAAGTGAATTATTCGTCAGCGATTTTTCTTAGCTTATTTTGACAAAATGAACCAAATTGGCTACTAAAAGCGAATTATTATTTTTTTTTCATTATTTCATTTTCATTGATGACCGATCAAAAAATATCATATTTTTTTTTTTATATATATCGTAGCTAATGCCCCTTTAAAGGGACATTATCAACGATGAGGACTACAAAATAAAACATGATTTTTTTTTTTGTTTCAATCATTTATTATAGCAGAATATTCATATAATATTTCGCTATTGGCTGTTTGTTAGGTTCAATTTTGTCAAAACAAACTAAAAAAAAAACATCGTAAATGTATATTGGCTTGCAAGTCAATAATTCAACACATTTGAATATGTATTCATGCAACGTTTAAATTGACCCTGGGTTACGCGTGTGCTTACCGTTTTGTTTAGTTATTAAAAGATAAGAATGAAAATGCCTGTACCAAGTCAGGAATATGACAGTTGTTGTCCATTCGTTTGATGTGTTTTATCATTTGATTTTGCCATTTGATTAGGGACTTTCCGTTTTGAATTTTCCTCGGAGTTCAGTATTTTTGTGATTTTACTTTTCACCATTGATACTGAAACAATGGTGCCAATAAGAAAACCATTTCGTTGACTGATGTTTCGTCCCCAAAAAAAATATTCATATACAGGTAAACATAACGATTTACATTTTTAAATCTTAAACATGAAATCGAACAGACCTAGAAAAATCGTCATTGAATGATTGCACGCACTTGTTGTCCATCTATATTTATAGTTGTTTATATCAGGTCGTAAGATCGTCGGCAGTCTTCGGAGGTAATTAGATTGCGTTTTATCTAAAATACGCACGAAATTCTGATACATTATAACGAATTCATGCATTGTTAATTGTTTCTTTGTCCACTTTCTGTAATTTGGATATACGTTTAAGTATGTTATAAATCAAATATGAGAATTTAAATCAAATCGGTGATGATCATGAATTTGACAGCTATATATAATGCCCCTTTACAGTATTTTCTTTTTATAGGCTAATTATAACAATGCCATGACTGTAATTTTGTTAAAATAGTAATAGTAAACAAAATCTTGAATGAATCGCACTACATGTTAATATCTATATTTAGAGAGAGCACAAAAAGCGCCCCAAAATATATATTCGTCAGGAAATATATTTTGTTTTTATCTTTTTGCTGTCAAAAAAGTAGTTTAACCTACACACGTGATGGATTGCTCTGTTGATTCAACAAAAAAGGTTCTTAAAATTTATAGATTTTTCTAGAGAAACTTACTTGTCTACCATTATGACGTCACTTTGATAACGTCATAGTAAATGAGTGTATTTACACCTATGCAAATTCTCACTTTTTCTGACAAATTCTATACTAAATTATTAAAAAAAAAAATGCTATTAATAATCATTAATACTGTTTTTTATTTTCCATAAACATATGCTTTTTTTTAATTAACTTTTCGCAGGACCAAATTAGCCTTAACTTTTGTTTACGAGGTGTTAAAACACTGGTAAACTAACGTACAAAATTATGCAGTCAAACATTTTTTCAATTATAAATACGTTTATAATTGATTGACGTGTGATATTTGTATCACTTATCGATTTCTTTTATACCTTTTTAACGCCACGTCGTTTGCTTTTAAAGTGTGTCACTATGCATGTGCTATTTTTAAACTTTCGAGCAATGAATGCCAAGGCACGCCCATCATTATTATTCATATCAATACAAAGATGGTGTCAGTAAAACTTCTCAAAATGGCGGCTATATCCAATCATATCAGTATATGAAATCACCTTGAATGATTGGCTACTTTCAAATTGTCATGCTTAAACAACTGAAAAAAAGGTAAAAATGTCGTCTGCTAAAAACATAACAATAAAAAACTTACCGTTGAGTCAGATTTTGTTACAGACTCCATGAAGGAAATTTCAGACAGATACATTATAACTATAAATAGGTCAAGGCGTAATGTATCACGAGGGTCATGTATATTTACTTCCAACCAATCAGACTGTTGACAGATGTCTCCGCCTATCGAATACAATTTCACAACGTCATGTGAACGCTTTTTTTTGGAATACGATCTCCCGGTAACTGGCTTTTCATTAAATAAAATGCAAAAATTAAAATTGATTATTCGTTGCTTAACATCAAATATGTATCATAAACTCATAGTATATATTTCGTTGTCTTTTATGATGTCATTTCATGAAAGAAACAAATGAATTTGATTAGCCCAAATTGCACCCCATATAGCAATTTAGCTTTACGGAAATCTCCGACAATGACCGAGCAAAACGAGAATAACCAATCAAAACAAAGACGTCAGCAAATATGGCGACAAGAAAGGTGTCCTGTTGCAACCTGAAACCAGGAAAATCGAATTCTTCTTCTGCATAAAATTTACAATTCATTTTTTGCATGAAAGAAATAAGGACAATATTGTAAGCATCAATCAATTATTACATGATACTTCCCGAACCAGAAACTGTCCACAAGCACTCAAAATAGTATTACGTCGTTAAGGTCGGCAGCACAGGCGCTTTGATATCGAAGGCTAGACGACTCAGCAATGCTTAGTAGAATGAACTATTTATTACAATCGTACGAGAATACTTGTTCCTTAATGAATCATGGCATCATCACATGTGAAAGCGGCTAGTCATGAAGTTTTTTGAGAATGGGTTCTGTATGCTGTGGACGAATAAATTCATGATTCATCCAAGTCAGAAAAACCGATCTGGACTACGAAACCCTACTTCACATTAGTCCAAATTATCATTGCGTTTGCTGAGGGTATTTTTTTATATTTTTAAAGATTCCTCATCGTTGCTAAAGTGTTGATGCAAACATTAGAATAGCCTTTGGACTACAAACACATGCATAAATTTACTATACACCTTATGTCATGATATCACTATTTAACCTTTGCCTTTGGCCATTACTGGACTTCCACATTCCCGTAAGATTTCATAAGAGATAAATTCATAATGTCTGTGCTGGTCGTCAAAAGTTCGTGTCTCAAATTCTCAGGTTATTGACCCTTCCAGAAGCTACGATAACCTAGAAAACAGAAATTTTTGCAAGATTATGAACTTGAATTATCGTGGTACAGTTTGTCAATGCCTTATTCTGTCTAAGGATTTGAGAGTCAGTCAGTACAATTATCATGCATGTTTGATAATCTCAGATGAAGTTGTTGTGCAGGAATGTAAACAGTCCTTTGACTGAGTTGGTTTTTCACTGCTTGGAAAATTAGGCAACAAAAATCAGGCTGTTGGTTTTTCTCATTTGAATTGTAATACATTATGTCATGTCAGGTCCTGTAAAATCTGTAAGTTTGTTGTCGCATTCGAAAAAAACACCATAGGGATTTAAACAAGTTAGCAGGTATTATTATTATATGGTGGAGCAAAAACAAAACTGGTGATCTACGATCTACCAAGAGCCCTTTTGCATCAAGTTAATGTGATGCGATCTGACAGAATATTCTTATAGATTCATATGTTATGGATGCGATGCAATAATTTCTAGAACAAAGTCAGTATTTCATAATTCCCTGCTACCAGGATGTTCAGAGCTCCAGATTAGCTGCTTTTTTGCTTGATTATACTGTATAAACAATTAAAAAAGCAATCCATTGTCACTTAAAGCTTTCAAAACACAATTCATGGAAAGGAGAAGACAATAACATATCAAAGCTGTCTGAACCTTTCTAGCTGCTATCTAGTATATAATTTACCTGATGTACACTATTAAATTGATAAATCATTGTCGAGTAATTTGTCTGTTTGTAATTTTAGGAAATGTACTTCGTTCTAGAAAAAGAGTACCTGCTCATCAGTGACATAAGTAATAGCATCTAAAAAAATTGGTATCCAATGAATAATAATGAATTCTGATTTATTCACAGTATCTTTTTCTAAAATGTAAATGCACACTTAGTGTTTTCTACAAGATGTTTTGGAAGGTTGTTGTGCCCTGTCACATTTTCTTGTCCTATTTTGTGTATTTTTTTGTCAGCCATGCCCCTTTTTGGGCTTTTCAATCGTATTTTATAAAGCCCTGCTGCGATTTAAGATCAGTTATCATGGTTATGTGATTCATCTTTTCAAGTTATTTCCCTTTGGACAAACTCAAGATATTACTGAATTTTTATACGCCCGTTTATGTGACGTATTATGGCATACCGTTGTCCGTCCATCGTCAACATGTCATACATTAACTCACAAACGCTTTAACCAATTTGCATAAAACTTTGGTGAATTGTTTATATCTATTGGTGTCAGCTCCCTTTGTTTTTAAAAAAAATTAGATTTTACGTTTCCGAGTAATTGGGTTTTATTCATTGAAAAAAGGGGGGGTTTTCAGTTTTCGGACAATATCTCAAGAACACTTTCATCAATTTGCATGAAACTTTGGTGAATTGTTTATATCTATTGACATGAGCTCCCTTTTGATTTTTATAAATTTTAGATTTTACTTTTCAGAGTTATGGGGTTTTATTCATTAAAAAAATGGTGATTTTCCAGTTTTCGGACAATAAATCAAAAATGCTTTCAGCAGGTCTCCTGAAACTTTTGTGAATAGGTTATATCTATTGACGTAAGCTCCTTTTTGATTTTTATAAATTTTAGATTTTACGTTTCCGAGTTATTGGGTTTTATTCATTCCAGTTTTCGTACAATAACTCAAAAATGCTTTCAGCAGTTCTCCTGAAACTTTGGTGAATTGTTTGTATCTATTGACGTATGCTCCCTTTCAATTTTCATAAATTTCTGATATGACAATAGACATTGAGAAGTTATTGAACTTTATTCTTTGAAAATGCGACCGGCGTATCATGCGCTCATGGTGCAGCTGTTTATTTTATTATGTTTCAACATTTTTGAAGTAACCCCTACAAATACGGTTGATGATTGACCCGAATAGGGACAACAGTGACTTTGCACTGGCACCTCTCCAAATTTTAAAATGAAGATAATTTAAAGGGGAACCAGGTGATTTATTAGGTTATAATTTTACAATGCATGGGACATTGGGATGAACATTACAATGTATGTAAACAATCAGCTGTTTGTTTATATTTTTAATTTACAAAAAATGTAAGTATGACCACTTTAACTATTCTGTCAGTTGTTGATATCTAAATAAAATTAAAGTAATAGGGGGAATAAGCTGTCAATTTCATGTTCACCGATTTGACCCAAATTCTCATATTTGATATACATTGTAACATACAAAAACATATATCAAAATTATAAAAAGTCTTGAATAAACAATTAGCAATGCATTGACTCAACAAAAAGTCTCGGCATTTCCTGTTTATTTTAATTTTTAGTCTAGACGCCATCTGATTAACCATCGAGATGACCTCTGAAGACTGCCCATATTGATGGTTTTACATCTCAATATAAATCTTAATATAGATAAAGAGCAGGTGCAATTGTATTTTTCTATGTCTGTTTGAATTTTACAACTTACAGTCTGCACCAAAAAGTTTAGAGGCTATTTGTCTATTGGATTAGTAAGTTAGATAATTTCCTAGTCTGAAAAAATATGAACTAGTCCGACACAGGATGAGGGCCGTGAAGTGGCCAAAATCAGCTAGGGGGTTTGTATTTTAAGATGCAAAATCCTTCATTTTGAGCATACCTGAAAGCAGTTAAGATGATTGAAAACTTTTTTATTTTAGCTATTTTTTGGGGGGTTAATCAATACATTTGCAAGATTTGACCAAACTTGAGACATTAAGTCACTATTTACATGTAGTCATATTATTTGTCATGTACATGATGTATGTTGTCCAAAATAAAAACAATGTGCTAGTTTCAAAATAATTTTCATTTTTATTCCTCATAGTCTTTTTACATGTTTTACATTTGTTTTAAAGAGACGTTTTTCAGTTTGACCAGAAAAACTTTATCTTCTGCCATCTCGTTATCATCATACAGAACGTGCAATACATTAACTTTTTATCATATTCTAACCATGGACGATCATTCTTCCTGTGTATTTGGGACCCACTTGTCATGCTTGTCCTGGAAACCTCATATTTCTTTTTTCTGTTCAGTTATATCATCTGGTGTTCCTTTTCTTTTTAAAGACTTTCCTGGCTTTGCCCTGTCTGTCCACCAGAGCATTTTGATCACAAGATATAGCAGGCCCACATAGTCTCCGTCTTTCTTAATATCAAAAAGCCTGATGGGTAACAGCTAACAGCATGATATTGTCATGATAAACTCGTAAATTTAATCATGTGAAGTAAAACTCAAACATGATTTAAACAATTAAGATATATAATGAATCGAAAAAACTTGATTGTCTTTTTGTTTTATAAACAATTGCTTTGGTTATTGGAAAATTTAATTTGACTGTGTTGGCATACTTTTGGTAATAAGAAGGATCGAAAAACCGGAAATCTCACGAATTGTTTCTGTGTGGTTACACTATCTTAGGATAAATGTATGAATTATTGACCATGATTTGTTTAGAATTTGCACATTAATTTGACAATCTTTTCTGCATTACTTGTCAATTTGAACTTCAAATATGTTCAAAATTTCAAATAACATATAATTAAAAGGACTTTATTTTTCTTACTAGTCTCGGTCGGGCTGGTGATAAATGAAATTTACTAGTCTGAGCTGAAATTTACTAATCTGGGCCGGCATTGGGCTAGTAGTAGTGGTTAACATCACTGACATATGTTGTATATATATAGTTAAGAAATATGATGATCATCATTTTTACTTAAGAAGGATTTTTTGGGAATCGAATCAGTCAACAAAATGGTTCACCCTTGTTTCACTTTCAGTGTTGACATTGTTTTCCTTTTAATATATACATTTAGCCGAACATGTCTAGTGCAAGCATATACAATCTCCAGCTTAGGGGTTAAATTAAAGGTCCCATTAATATGGATTGAAATGAGGCTAACTTATTGAAAGTCAATAATACATCGGCAATGGTTTGA